TACATTTTTTGCATTTTAATTATTGAATGATGTGAAGAATAATTGTTATTACATCAGAGAAATACCAAATTTTTCATGCAAAACAAAATGATGGTTTCTAGAAAAGTTCAAACTAGAAAATCATACAGAAAACAACAAAGAATAATAGGTGTTAGGGTAATAAGTTTATGCAAGAATCTGGCCATACAGATTTTAAGTTATGAAATATAAAACTAAATTAGATTTGGCATCGACTTTCATTCCAAATTGTATCTTAAGTTACTGATCAATAAAATATAATTATAAACCAATCATCTTCTTTTTTAGTGAGTAGTTCATCTTTGCCCTTGTTCGAAAAAATCCCAACGTCGGTAAATAATACTTGAATTAGAACAAGCTTGGATGAAAGAAGTAAAATCAGGTAAGTCATCACAGCCACCGCTTCACAGTTTTAATGCTCCATATAACATGTGATAAATGTTTTAGCTAACTATACGCTATTGTACCTATGTATTAACTACAAAATACTGTTACCGAGCGCCAATACTCTTAAGTAATTAATGACTGAAATATAGAGTTATCAGATATTCTTAGCTCTGAAAGGAATCTTCGGAAATGTACTAAAAGTGACTTAAATTAACACTGATTACTTCGGTTACAAGTGATCTTAATAGCGCTTATATTAACATGCCGATTTCTCCACAATACCTATGGATTACAAGATTACTAATTCATTTACGTTTGGGGGCAACTAGCCTATAACGGATATTGTATTCTTTTGGTAAATCAATGTCAAAACTTATCTAATATTTACTAATAAGTAGACTCTAAAATAGAAATGCAATGCAATAAGCGCGGACGTCATTTGAACTTGGAGTACAACGATTAACCACCCGTTACCATATACGGTATCCAAGCTATACTGACTGAAGCCACAAAACCTTTGTTTCGCAAATGATCAGTTCGTTATGGTCATCAAAGCACTTAAGACTAAGGTGTTTTAAGTTCGGCTCTGTGTAAGTCAGCAACTTCATGTAATCACGAAAAGTCTGTAAAGAACGAGGAGTTGTTCAGTGCTGAGCCGTTTCAGATGGTTCTTAAGCTGATATTAACTTAGTAGTAAATTGAGAATAATGATTTTAGTTTTTCTCGTAATATGAGAAACAAACACATAATTTTAATCCTATTTAGATTTGTAAAGATTATAACACATTTCAACTACCATTTTTTAATAATTTCAATGTTAAGAGGAGCTCATGTTTATTCTTTCAATGAATGTATTAACCTATTCACAGGTATTTTTCGCCTTAATTCACCATTCAGCAGACTTGTTACCAAACTATTGCTGTGAAAAAGATACTACTAACAGAATTTCTGATGGTATGAAACTTTTCTACTAAAGTAGAAAGTATGGTGTATTGATCTCTTGTGGATCTTGTTAACAAAAATGATTGTCGACAGAACAATTGGTCTTGACAACTTAGAACTATTGTTTAGTTGAATGTCTAACAGCTGTTAATACTCTTTTGAATATCGACTATAAATCTATTTAAAGGTTAATTGAGTAAGGCATGCTCAATTCATAAATATTCCTAAACTTGAAAAGACTAAGCGTCGTGTTACGGTGCTAAAGATTAACATAATTTGTAGATACATACAGAATATCAATTGAACTAATGAAGAGTTGCATCTGAAATAAATATTTTTTATCTCATGTCAACTAATCGCTTCTTCAGGTTGTTACGGCAAGTAAATTAACTGGTAAGCAGTGCTGAAGACGTTAAGAAGGTGGCGGCTTACATGAATAAAAATAGTACTACAGTAATATAAATTTAATATTCACACCCAGCTCATTATAATTGAAAAATCTTTCATACCTCCACCCTATACACCCCTGACATCTGAAATCAAAAATTACTTTTTCCATAACAATCAACTATAGGAATTGCGCATCTTCAAGTTGTGCTCCTAGTTTGAACGTAGTCAAAACTGCAGAAAACCTATTACTGAGAATGGTGTTTGCAGTAGAATCTTCCACTCTTGGTGCGTTAGACATTTTTGTCGACGTAATAATAGTCGCTACTTAGCTTAAATGCTCATCTTTGTAACTTGTAGCTTTTTATTTAGTATATAGACAGTAACTGATAAATTCTACCAAAAGCTATGTCAGGTGTCCTAATTTTAGTGATGCCAGGTGATATTAACATTGCGAAGAACTATTTTTACGTGAGTATTGTGCCTGAGTGTATTTAAACCCACAATAATGTCAAAATCCTGTAACAGACAAATTAAATTAGATCAGCTACTTCAAAATGCCTCAAGTAATTTTGGTGCAAAAATGAAAGTTTCTTATTGACTTCTTAATCGTTCAACATTTGAGATTCATTATTATTCAGGATTAAAAAAACTCGCATGAAATTCAGTACGATTGATGCTTTGAGTTCAAATTTAACACAAACTGAGCATTATAGATAATTCATTTAATAACTTTGTAATTCTATTCTCCAATAAGATATGTTCACTTAAAATAAGGTACGAACATAATAATAGTGATCAAGTATGTACTGATGTTTGTTAATTTTAAGTAAAATAGTTCACTGTAAAGCTGTGTGACACGAGATCGAAACCATCAGATAGAATCAGTTCCCTCAAGATTACAAGTACACTTTGCTGATAAGTGTCAAGTAGCACGAAACCTAGGTCTAAGGTTTCCTGTTGACTACCACCAACCACCATCTTAGTTCACTTTCTACATCTATTTTGATTATAGTTAGAAAAAATTTAATAACAGTATTATAACAGAATTTAATGAATTCTTTTAACTATTTTATATATATAGGATTAGAAACAGATATACAGACAGGTATCATTACCAAGGTTTGACTTGATAATTTCGAATAAATTGAGCATTGTGTAGATAGTTATAAATATATTAATATATTTATAATATCCCAATGAGTAGAAAAATTAGATTTTCTGACGTTTCGCAACTTAATGTGAGCCACTTCTTCAGAGATAAGTTTACTATTGAGAAATAATTACTCATTTGCAGATATATCAGTTTTATTGAATTTAATTGATTTTATTTCCAGTTTTCTTGTAACTATAAATAAGCAAATAATGAGAATGCAAATTATTTATTTATTATTTTTTAAAACGACCGAGAAAAGACGAACAAACAAAAAAGATAATTACAGATTGATAAATGATTATTTTAATTATTTCTGATTCATTGTAAACAAAACTCCTATATAATCTCAAAACTATGTTAAACATGAACTAGTCTAGTGTAAATCAATAATATATATATGTAATATCTCAATGAGTAGAAAAATTAGATTTTCTAGCGTTTCGTGACTTAGTGTAAACCACTTCTTCAGAGGATAAATAACCAAATCAAAATTAATCTAAGTTTAAACTTGGGATATTATAAACATATTATTTATTTATTTATAACAATCTACTCAATGCCCAATTTATTCGAAATTATCAAGTCAAACCTTGGTATTGATATCTATGTAGTCTAGTGTTGTAGACAATATAACTTGAGTCATTCAATTTCATTTGAAATGTTTTTTATGTGAATCTTACCTGTAGAGCTGAATATGTTTTGTTAAGATTAAAGTAATATATTCAGGCCATTGCTTAGAAGTATTATATCTTACGCAAGTTGTGATCAATATGGATTTTAATCAGTAAAATGTAACATATCTTATTTAAAATAGGATAATATGCATTCAATAGATATCGTGAGATAAAGCTTAAATGTTTTGAGTCAAGACAATTTATAAATACCAACTTGGTTTTCAGTTATGGTCTTTTGTGGGATATTTAATCAGTCGGATTTTGAATGTGACCAAATTGGTCTTGTGTGCTACGGTCGGGGATATTTAATCACTTAGTTTAATCATGACTTTCGTATACCTCTTCATTATGTAAATTTTTTTTGGAGATGTTTTATTCTCTTATAATTGATCAAGTGGATAGATCTACTATTATCTTTTCGACACCTTATTCATGTTCTAATTACACTCTGACTATTAAGGAGCTTCATTCAATTGTTTTATTTCTTGATAAATAACTTGCAATTACTTATCTATGAAACACACTATGGAAAAAAAATGAATCAGATAGCTCATTAACAAACTAATTATAAAATGAAAATATAACTAATTGCATAAAATTTAATTCTGGCTAACCTTGATAATGCCTTCAGAATATCTTTAGTTCTCTTTGCTTGTTTCGAATTAGCACCGAATGTGAATTGTTCAAGGTCAAGGCACTGTATTTATGGTATTTATTGAAAGTAAGGTAGATAAGAAATGAATTCCTGTACAATGAAATTTATTTCTGAAGGACAAAAACTAATATTTCATTTCATAAAACGTTTGCTTTATAAAGAAGTATACTGTTTTTCTAATTAAGTAGTAACAGGTGAATTAACTTAGAAGTTTTTAATATCTAACATTAAGTGAAGCTTGTTCAGCTTTTGTCGAAACAGAGAAAAAAAATAATTAAAACGAAGCAAGGAAAGTTAAATTATTAAAATAAAATAATGAACAAATTTAGGGCTATAAAATAATGAATAGCAAACGAATACACTTCACACTTACTACACTATCCTTTAACTACTTTTCAACAACCAATGAACCTGAAATGTTTTCTACCTTCTGTATGAATTAGATGAACAATCATAAACTTTGCAATTATTCTGGGATTCTAAATATGTGCACTTCAACCACTGTTATTATTTTATTTCATGAAAGTTCATGGTGTTTTGGTATAATTCCTTAACATTGTAGTTTTACAATTTTATCAACTAACTCAGTTATTCTCTTTGCGGTAGTATCCTCACCATCAGGATGTTTAACCCGATGTTTTCATTATATATGTATAATGCTTTAAAAAGCAAGAGATTCAATATATCTTTACAATGGTATCTTTATATTGCGAACACTGCACTATTTATGGGTACATGCAGAGTACGAACATTAGTAGGTACCTGAAAATTATGCCTTCCGTTTAACATTCAGATGTCTAACAAGAATCAACCGTTAACAACTTGCTTTTATTACGTTAAAAATGACGTTAATGTTAGTATTTCCCTACATTTCGCTTGCGTTTTGTAAGTAAATCCTCTCTAGTCATTTTTTGACCATTATTCAATATAATTAGTGACCCATAATTGTATTATATCCACTAAATACTATCAGTCACGTATCAGCTTATCAAGCTGATAAATTATGAAACATTTCAAATAGCTGTTTTTTTTAGACGTTCATATTACTTCCTTTTTCTAGAAAGACATTGAACGTTCCGTAGTTTAACTTTTCTGGTCAAAGAATATGGAATAATTAATGAATTCTCTAGATAAACTATTATTTCTACCAAGAATAAAATAGTGAATCTTCAGGTCAAACTTAAGTATTTTGTACATACCATTTCAGCTTGATTAAATGCTTCAGCAAAATTTTCTTGAACCATGTTAATTGACAAGATTAGTTTATATGTCTTTATTACTTGTGTATTGTACATTCCAAATGTGTCTTCTTGAATATTTAAATTTTCTTCTAATAATTTTAAGGCTTCCTAAAATTACATAACTTAAATATTAATTCAAAAATGAAATTGGATTTCCTTTTACATCAATAAAAGTATTAGTCACATAATAATAGTAATAATAATAATTGTTATATCCTAGTGAAGATTACATTACGAGTAACGTCTGAGACCTATTAATGGACTAAAATTATTTATATATTCTCATGGTATAAATATTCAGTAACTAGATTATGTATATCTATATTCCCCTTGTTATAAGCTTTATTGTGACCTATGTATTATTATTATACGATTTACTGTTCTTAAGCTATGTTCACTTTATTGACTACTGCCCCCCACGTTCACAGTCACTTTTTGGCTTTTTTGTGTACAAATGTTATTTCTTATTTTATGGTGCGTTGCGGCTTGTTTTTTTGATATATAGAAACCCAGTATGTCTGAAATAAATGATTCGATTCGCATAGTGGAAGCTGTATTGGTGTTCTGGATTCAACTGGATGGGCTAGGTGAACATAGGACCAATAAGGACGCTAGGCTGCTCATACCTGTCGAACGTCATTGGTTTGGCACAGTTCCAAGATTGTATAAATCGTATTTTGATTGGTGGATAAATCACGTGATAAAAATATAAATACCAAGAAAAATTCGCTTAAACCAAATGGTTCATCTAGATCCTAAAGAAAATAAGAACAGTTGACTATTTTTCATAATAAATTAAATTATACAATTATATTCTAGTTTAGTATTTATGTTTTTTTTAACAAGGTCAAGTCACAATTATCGATTAATTGTTTGTGCTTACATTCACCTCTGTTTCACATAAGATGGAGTAAGTGTTTTTTAAGTAATGAATACACAATAAACATCGTCCAAAACTCCATGAAATAATTTACATCAAAGTACTAAAACTGTATACAAGTTGTTGCATGATGACGAACAAACATTACAGATTTAAAGTGAATAAGAAGATGAAGATTATCAGAACTATGTCATCTTCTTATTACACTATGGAAATTTATCAAATGGATTAATTGCTTTAAAGTTAATACTTATAAACTAAAGACCATACTTTGCATGTATTCGTTCTGAATATTCTCATTGAAAATAAAATCATATATATGAATGAGAACAATATTCAGTAGTAATAGCATATTTTATTAAAATATGCTTTGTTCGTGAATATGATCCAATAATGAAATTAATATTAATTCAGCTAAATTTTTAGATTTCAAAATTAACTTATTTCAGTCATCAATTGATTAATCTTTCTTATTTAACACAATTACTCTATAACTGATTATTAGAATTTCTATACAAAACAGCTCTTAATATACATTTTTGTAATATGAAATGATTGAGAAGATATGTAGTTCAGAAGAATGTTCTGTTGGTGTTGTGTTCTCTCAGTTAGATAGTTTGGTTATGAAAAACCTATAGCCACTCTGAACAACATAAGTAATTTATTGTCCACTTGACTCAAAGATAGTAGGACGATAATGATGTTAAAGAAAGGTAAATACCTTGCTTGTCGTACCATATATTCTGATGACTCAACAATTTTAAACCAAGGCTACGTCAAAAGTTGAAAAAAAAAGAATGTATTAGATACACACATATCATGCGTTTGTTTACAGATAGATGACTGGATGAACTACTCAACAAATAACATGTGACTCACTATGAAAAAGGGACAAGTACATAAACACATCTCTACTATCATACATACATTCTCAAGGTCACAAATATAAAGAACAAAACGATTAGAAAAGTACAGAATAATCCATCTGTCCAAAGGTTGGAATAAATAACGTAGGCGTGTAAAAATACAGATTTTTAAAGTAGACTCTGATACTACAATGTTGGACAAACAAACCGTTACAGATTCACATAACACACCGTCAACAAAAGTACATGACATCACAAAACGTTAACCCCCTATTATTACAGAATTAATAGCAAACGTTACATATGATGTGTATGTATGGTTTTCTGTTTCCTTCAGAAAAACCCTGAAAGAATTTCATAATCTTTCGATTCTGTATCTATTAGTTCAGATACAGTTTAGAACGCCTCAAATTGTTCTAAAACTTTTTTTAATAAGAATGAATTCAACATTTGAAATGCATCAGTACCAATACAGCTTCATGTCGATAGTATTATCCTCCATTTTAGTCTGGACAATCTATCGTAACTTTATCGTGACAAAATGGTTTGTTTAACAAATTTTAATGAATTGCAATATCAACCTACTTTATCGGTTCAGTGTTACATAAACGTCATTAACAAATATTATATTCTTTTATTAACACATTTTTAATTACACACGAAGCCACTTGAATTTTTTGTTTATAACTACTCCATCTGGAAATTCTTAATTTCTACTAACTCTTCATTAAACTAGTTGGACACCGAATTAGCGATCGAATAACTCAATGGAACATCTGAAGTATTGTTGAATATAAGCTAAGGTCAAAAGTAGAGATCAACATGAGCAATCATACTGTGAACTATTACACAGATATCATACACAGTAATTTTGATTACTTGAGTATCTTCAAAACATGTCTTGGAGAGTTAACGCATTAGTGATGTTCATAAGACCCGGAAAAATGAGAATATCTCCATAAAGTTACTTACGTCATCGCAACATTTGACATTCCTACCACAATTTTGGAGTTACATGACTTCGTTCATTAATAAGATGCTCTACAGTAACTATAAAATGTACTACCTATTATCTAATCCAAATAATAAAACGTCTCGGCGAAACACCATCTACAAATGCAAATTCGTTTATTTACTAAACGTTTTGTAATAATGTAAAAGAATCTTGGCTTAGATAGATGTTTTTGGTTTTGTTATGTTCTCTGAGTTGGTTTTCAATGTTGTTTTACAATAGGTCATCAGGACTCACTTCAAATGGAAGCGTTGTGTTTAATTAGTCCATAAGTGTTGAATCAACCGGTTGCTATGACAATTCTAGATCAATAAAATTCAAAGAATTGAAGAGAATTTATGTGATCATGGTACTTACGTCAGCCTGTGGTGAAAAAGCAGATTGATGTAGACTCTGTTAACCAACCTACTCTGTATGGATCAACTCATTACGTGCAAAGAGGTAAAAAACGAAGCTCAACAAGGACATAGACATAAATAATTCTGGCGAAAATTCTAAATTCAACGATTCACTGATAACGTCATTAAAACCAGATAGCTCAACAATTATGGTTGACTTTGACGTGAATTAAGCCTTTGAGAATGTTGTCTAAGATCACGATAGAAGCTTCGCAATTGAACCATTTAGTTCAGAAAGACAAAGTTACCATAACAAGGTGTATTTCTCTTTTGAATTAATTTAACCGAAAAAGTTAATGTTATAAACTGAATAATATTTCGGATTTTATTTATTGTTCAAAACCGATCTAAGTGATCAAAGTCAACAGAATACAGTTAGTAATGAATAATTTTTAAATAATAATTCATACAATACTGTCTTAGTGCATCACTCATTAAATGAGATTATAGAATCCGATTATCAATGAAACCACAGTTTTCTTCCAACTACTAAATATTCTCAATAGATTTTATATGAAAAAGATAACATGTGATTTTCGGTTTTACTTTGCCTTACAAGTAATTGATCTTTGTAGTAAACAAATCAGTTTCAAAATAAAATGATTGAATATTACGTTCAAACTATTAACTAGAATTTCACTTCCTCACATCGCTTATTAGTTAGTAAGTTATATTGTGAAAAACAATTGGGGAAGTCTTATCTTTAAAGTCAATAAATTGCTGTTTCCTTGAAAAGAAATATTCATCAGTATTCATGAATTGGCAAAATAAAAATGAACAATTGATGTAACAATTAATAATCTTTTTGATTGAGATCATGAACCGATTGATGTTAGACCACCATTGAAAACCTGAAAGCACTGGACGGTTTTCAATGGTGGTCTAACATCAATCGGTTCATGATCTCAATTAAATACTTAATAATCTCCATAACACTATACTGATAATTAATAATTTGTAGCGAAATTTCTTTTAACCACATTAAATTCATCCTGAATATGATCAAGAATTTCAAATACATCAAGTTTAAAATGTAAATTCAACGTGATCTGCATATTTTAACATTGAAAATCATACTATATTATGATATGAAATTGAATTGACTTACTTGGAAACGACTTGATTTTATATAAATATTTATTAATAATGAACGTAATGAACAAATTAAATTTACAAAATATTCATTAGAGTATTCATAAATTGAATTCGAACAATGATCTGTTAGACATTTGATATGATGATTATTGTTATCGAGTGAATTAGTTTTTATTCTTATTAGATCAACTGATCCATCTGAATTATTATCAACATGATATTCAATAGAGTTTTGATTGTCTTTTTCATTATAAGTATTTAACATTTGTAACATTTCACCAAGGAGATGTTCAGCTGTTAATTATAAGGAATACAAATATATATGATATAAATATAGAAAACCATACTGTAAATCGGAATATTATCCTCAGAAACTATCTAATATGTGTATCGAATAAGCCTTAGAAAATATTTCTGGCCGATACATACTGTATAACAATGCCTGTAAAAGTGATGTTTTAATCAAAAGATTAATTTCACTGATTGAAATCATGAGTCAATTGAAGTTAAACCACCATGGAAAACCTGGAAGTACTGGACGGCCGTTTCATCCTAGTATGAAACTCCTCAGCAGTGCACATCCACGATTCCGCCCCCCGCGAGATTCGAACCCAGGACCTATCAGTCTCGCGCCACGCGCTTAAACAACTAGACCACTGAGCCGGCATCTGCTCACTAGTAACCGACTTCAAAAGATACTCCTTGAGTTCTAGTGAAAAGCCGTTACCAGTGGAGTTCAACCATGTCTGTTGTAAGATATCAACTCACTGAATACGATGGTGTACGGTGGCGCAAGTTCATGGATTGGTTGAAGTTAGATATTAACACCGTTATTATTACGATACAAACATTTAATGGTTCTTGAGAAAAAACAAATAAGATGGAATATTTATTGGGATATATTTTCTATTACAAACATACGTTAGTAATATATATAAAAATAAAATAAGTAAATTATGTAATATTATTCTGCACTTCATGTTACTCACTATCATCCAAATTTAAATTGAGTTTCATGTAAACTGTACACAATAGATAAACTGAACGAATAAGGTCAACCATGGAACGGAAACTTTCTTCTTTGTAGTAACTATATGTATTTTTCAGAATAATAAAACCATATTATCATGATCATAAAAAAATTATTGACTAAATTATGAAGAACACATTGGAAATGACTGAGTAATAAATAAATCTGAATAAGAATTCAACATTATGTTCCTATTCTTGTAATTTTTACATTGTCTTAAAATATGTTTTAATGAGCTGTGTAAAGTGTTTTACTAAGTGTAGTTACTGTTAAAGGTTTAAAAAGAAATCCAACGTTAAAAATCCACATCAAAGTAAACATTCTCAAAGAAATGAACAGAATGAATAAGTGAAAGAAAATAATCTCAATAATGATAGAAAATTTAACATTGATAAAGCTTTAAAATAGGAAATACAAAATCAAGGAGATGAACAGTCAAAAGTAATACTTTATTCAAAACAGTGTTCACCAGTTTAATTTTGAATAACGTTCGGGTATGTTATATAATTTTTTTAAAACATGAAACATACATAACCCATTTCCCCAATTACTTAGAATAATGAATGTGTCGAAAATGACAAACTGTTTTACAAACTTTATCTAGAACTCTGTGCTCAACGTTATTTGTTGTCAATCAGGTACTCCCTGAATATATATTTCAGATTTTATATTTTAGCCGTGTTCGATAGTGTAGTTTCCTAAAAATTACTTTATAGAATTTCATACAGTTATAGTTATTAAGTATTTGTTAATCGGACACTATCGAGCCCCGACCGTGGTGGTCGAGCTATACTGGCTGAAATAACCGTTCCTCAAAATCCTACCACGTCAGACAGGTCGGTTGAAGAGCGGTAAGACTAAAAGCAACAAACCCAAGGTCCGAAAGCGAAGTCGCACTGCTGACTGTACAGAGGTGTGACGGCGGTAAGCTGTTTCTTTCAGACAACCAGCATGACAGCGATGCTGCCTTTCCACAAGGAGGGGTGGGGTTAGAAAAGGTCGATTCTTTCTACGAACTAACTAGCATAACACACTATTGAGCAGAATTTTCTACAACTGTACAATAATGACTGAACGATATATTTGGAATAATGTAGATCTAAACATAGCACAAACCTTTTTATATCTATGTTGAAGTGAAAAATATATATATAAAGATTGAGGTAAAAATTAAATATTTGCAAAGTTGAGCCAATTTACCAGGAATATTTTCAAGAAAGAAATATAGCTAGCTATCTCACCTAATAAATGAAAATAAAAAAAACTCACATTTTGTTAGAAATTTCATAGGCTTTTTTAAAATAGTCTATAGATTTTTTCATATCATCCTCACTACTTTGATATTCAATCTGGAAAAAAAAACAAGAAAACTATAGGACAAAATTCATCGAATATAAAGAGATCAATTTGAAAATGATTAAATTCTATATAATTAATCAAGATTTGAATTGTCATGTATACCTATTTTTTTTAATCTATTTTCTATATAAGTATAGATGGATAGTGGCTAGCAGTGGAATTCAGGATACGCGTTTTGTTCCATTTGAAACTCGTCGGCTGGTTGCAGGGAAGAAGGTGCATCCAGCTGATGCGTCTCAAATGGGACGAAACGCGCGTCCTGGATTTCACTGCTAGCTGCTCTCCGTCTTTGCTTAGATTACATGTGAATCAAGGCTATATGGAGGCAATACGCATACATACATACACATGTCAATAAGAGACTGATCGATTGCAGTCCTTAACGTTCAAACAATCAGTACAAAAATGAATTATTTTCTATACAGTTTACAGAAATGTAGAGAACAGTATATTTGAATTTCGATTCATAGTGGAATCAGGAAAGAAGTGTGCATCTTCAGTTTAATTCCAAATCCTAGTTTGAAATATACTGGAACTTATAACTAAGATCAGTTTCAAAGAAATCTTCTCATGATGCCCATTTACCAAGATCATTTGTGATGCTTAATAGAAACGGTAGGGAAATCGAAAGCTGTTCATATAAGTGAAGGGCTTTTTAAACAATAAAGGATAACAAATCAATTGTTTATACTTCAATTAAATTGCTTTTTCTGGTTGATGTATGTATAGAGAGTTAGATTTTTATTGGATCTAAAGCAAAACAATATACGAACGGGGCAAAAAATATTTTTAAGTCTACATATTTCCTGACAAGGACGATGTTTTACATGTTCACTGTCAAAATGATATCATTTATTGACTTAAAAAAGGATTATTACGGATATAAGTTTGATTTTTTTTCTAATAACCCTAGTTTGTATCATTATCTCTTCAGTAAATATGTGATAAGTCCCAGTTATTAGAATAAATGAAAATGTGTAATCAAAATAATAAACGATATTTATATGAAGCCACACAAATTATATGTAAGAATTTAGATGTTTTAATTAAAACCACTCCATTTAAATATAATTTTAGCCCGAAATTTCATAGACAGAAGGAATGCTTACATTTTAAGAGTTATCTATTACCAACAAGCTTAAATTTGTAGTTTGCTGTACCACAAATATATAGAACTTCAGTGAATTTATAGTCGATTTGTGTATTTTTGAAAGACATGTACTGTATGTTAGAACCGATGACCATGATTAAATTTATGATTTTACAAGAAGCAACTTCTTGGATTTCCAGCTAATGACTTTACTTAGGTTCTTTCACAAAATTTCAAGTGACAAATGTCAGCCAACTATATTTCCAATCGACAATGTTTATGCGTCATAAAAGGTCGGCAATTTATGTTCAAACCCTTCGTAGTAAAATCTTGAATTGAGTCCAGCTGTCTTGAACCAAATGGCCAAGCTAATTTGTGGAATAATACAGTAGATATTAAAAAGCTGTATTTAAAACTCGTATGACTTAGTAGCGACAAGTTGAAACTTTCAATATTTTACAGATTATAATACTACTTTCTTGTGATTGACTGCGCAAGACATTGAAACTTAGATTTATCCTGAAAGGTGGTGGATCAATAAATTGTAGATACTAAACAAGTATTGGTAGCTGAAGAAGCTTTTGAGTGTTTATCTCGTTACAGTGAAGTAATTGAAATAATCTACGACTTATAAGGCAGATGCCAACAAAGAAGAACCAACAATCCACTTTCAGTCGATACACCGAGATGCATAATGAAGGTCCTTGTTACTTACGTACTTGCTTACTTACTTACTCCTATTACTACTCGTGAAGGAACATAGGCCGCTCGCCAGCATTCGCCATCCAACCCTGTCCTGGGCAATCATTTCCAGCTTCTTCTAGTTATTATTCATCCTTTCCATATCTGATTCTCTTTCCTGACGTAATGTGTTCTTTGGCCTTCTTCTTTTCCGCCTTCTTTCAGGATTCCAAGTTAGGGCTTGTCTTGTGATGAGTTTGACGATTTGCGTAGTGTATGTCCTATCCATTTCCATCGCATTTTCCTAATTTCTTCTTCAGCTGTAAGCTGGTTTGTTCTCTCCCAGAGAACGCTGTTGCTGATGATTTCCGACCAATGGATGTTGAGTATCTTGCGTAGACAACTATTTATAAATACTTGTACATGTTTGATGATGGCTGTTGTAGTTCTCCATGTTTCAGCTCCGTACAGTAGAACTGCCTTGACGTTGGTATTGAAGGTTCTCACTTTGATATTGGTTGAAAGTTGTTTTGAGTTCCATATGTTCTTCAGCTGTAGGAATGCTGTCCTTGCTTTGTCAATCCTTGCCTTTACGTTTGCATCTGAGCCTCCTTGTTCATAGATGATGCTTCCCAGGTATGTGAAGGATTCCACATCTTCTAGAGTTTCTCCATCAAGAGTGACTGGATTGCTGTTCTCCGTTTTGAATTTGAGGACCTTAGTTTTCCCCTTGTGTATGCTGAGGCCTACTGATGCAGAGACTGCTGCTACACTGGCTGTCTTTATCTGTATTTGTTCATGTGTATGCGATAGGAGGGCTGGGTCATCTGCGAAGTCCAAACCGTCTAATTGATTCTGAGCTGTCCATTGTATTCCATGTTTTCCTTCAGATGTCCAGGTCTTCATAATCTAGTCGACCACCAGAAGAAAGAGGAAGGGAGAGAGTAGACAGCCTTGTCTGACTCCGGTCCTTACTTGGAATGCATCTGTCAGCAGTCCTCCATGCACTACCTCGCACTGTAGTCCGTCATAAGAGTTCCGGATAATATTGATAATCTTCTCAGGAACTCCGTAGTGTCGAAGAACTTTCCATAATGTCCTCCTATCTACACTGTCAAATGCCTTTTCATAATTAATGAAGTTGATGTACAGTGACGAGTTCCACTCAATTGATTGTTCGACGATGATCCGTATTGTCGCAATTTGACCTGTGCACGACCGATCCTTACGGGATTCAGCTTGTTGATCTCGAAGTTAGGCGTCTACTTCGTCTTTTATCCGGTTCAGCAACAGTCTGTTAAAGACAGTAGTGTGATGCCTCTGTAGTTTTCATATTTGCTCAGATCTCTTTTCTTTAGAATCTTGATGAGGTATCCTTTTTTTCATTCCATCGGCACTTGTTGCTCCTCCCAAATCTTTTTGAATAGAGGGTGAAGCTTGCTTGTAGTTACTTCGATGTCTGATTTCAGTTCTCCAGCTGGTATATTGTCGGGTCCTGCTGCCTTCCCGTTCTTGATTTGTCTGATGGCCATTCTGATTTCTTCCGTCGTTGATGGATTGACATCTATAAGAAGATCTGTGTGTGCTGCTTCGATGTTCGGTGGATTCATTGGAGCCGGCCTATCCAGGAGTTCGTTGAAGTACTTTACCCATCTGTTCTTCTGTTGTTGAAGTTCAGTGATTGGCCTGCTTTTTTTGTCTTTGACCGGTCTCTTTGGTTTACTATATTTGCCTGCTAGTTTCTTCGTTGTATTGTAAAGCTGTTTCATATTTCCTTCTTTTGCAGCTTTTCTCACCGTCGTTGCTAGTTCTTCCACGTACTTCTTCTTGTCGGTTCTAATGCTCCTCTTCACTTGCTTGTTTACTTCTGTGTATTCAGCTTGTGCTTTGACTTTCTCTGCTCGTATTCGGCTGTTGTTTATTGCTGCCTTCTTGTTCTTCCTTTCTTTGATCTTGTTCAGTGTTTCTGTAGGGATCCATTCCTTATGATGGTATTTCTTTAGACCCAGAACCTCTTGACACGTTGAAGTTAATGCTTCCTTGATGCCTTTCCAGTTGTTCTCCATAGTAGTTTCTTCTTCTTTCAGTAGATCCTGTACGACTTGCAGCCTGTTGTTGAGAGCTATCTTGAATTCGTTGAATTTGTTAGTATCTCGAAGGAAGGCTATATTGAACCTTTGTAGTGCTGTTTGTCCAGTTGTCCAGTTCTTTTTTAGCTTCAGTTTTAAATTGTCTACAACTAAGTGATGATCTAAAGCTATGTCAGCTCCTCTCCTGGTTCTTACATCTTCCATTGTCCTTCGGAACTTTTAATTGATGCAAATATGATGTATCTGGTTTTCTGTGGTGTGGTATGGTGAGATCCATGTAGCTTGGTGTATACGTTTGTGTGGAAATATTGTGCCTCCTATGATGAATTTGTTGAATGCACACAGATTTGCAAATCTTTCTCCATTTTCGTTTCTATCACCCAGTCAATGTCGTCCCATGATATCTTCGTATCCGGTGTTGTCTATTCCAACTTTGGCATTTAGATCTCCCATCAGAATGGTGAGGTCCTTTCTTGGGCACTTCTCTATGATTGACTGCAGCCGCTCGTAGAATTAATCTTTAATGTCCTTGTAGCATAATTTAAATACATTTTCTGCGTTTTTAATTTTCCTTCCTCGAAACTTTGATTTTCAGTAGATAATGTGAGATAGCATTATATTTCAATGCTACATAAGTGTTCATTTGCTAATTTACTGTTGAACTACTTCTTTGTAAATAATATAAAAACCAATTCACGAACTACTCATTTTTTACGATGACAAAGAAGAGATTTTACTTAATATCAAGATTATGTTGTTACGTTTCCTAAACTGAAAGGTCTAAACTTAAATCCCTATCAACTTAATAAAAGATACCGTAATTAACTTGAATAAAAGTCTAGTATGAGAGCAAAAGCTATACAACTGAACTACCAACATAACATCTCTAAATAAACTGACTTTTTATCAAAACGAGTGGGTTGTTGATATCAAAACTAACACTTACATGACCAAGTGCGTGATAAACAGATATCATTTCCTTACTCTCTGGACCATATGTCTTCTCTATGAATTTCAATGCTTGCATATATTGATCAAAAGATACAACATATTTCTCACATTCAAATGCAATTCTAAATAAAGTACACATAAAATTCATAAACATTAAAAAAAAAAACGGTTCACAGTGAAAAGCACTTGAATCAAATTCATTTATCGCAACTATTATCTTTTTTCTTTATGCATTTGAACACATTTAGGAGGAAATAAATTTTTAGCCTGCCTATTTCAAGCAAATATTGTAAATTAAGATATTATATATGTAAATTTTTAAAATTCGATCTTCTGGAAGAAAATAGCTAACTTATTTCTGTCAAATGTATTTAAACGAGAAATTCACAGATAACTGGCATAAACAGAATTGCTAACATTGTGTTAAATATCAATATAGGATTGTATAGATTATTAACTTTCATTGAAATCATCAACCCATCAATGTTTAGTTACCACTGAAAACCTGAAAGAACTGAAAGGCATTTTCCTCCTAATACAGGATTCCTCAGCAGTAAGCATCTACGACCCCTTACAAAGGAATCGAACCCAAGACCTTCCAAATTCCATATATAATTTGATAGTTCTAGAATAAGTATTAATTGTTTGAGTTTCCTCATTGGTTAAGTGACAACAATATTATAATAATGCACCGAATATCTACATAATTCATAGAAATAGTTTAAGAATAATAAAATACTTACTTTCCATACAAACAATAAATACAAACTTTTAAATTTTGCAAATTTGGATAAAATTTTTTATCTAATCTCATTAAAGTACAATGATTCCATTGTTGATAATAATTTTCTAAATATCTATCAAATTGTTTAGAATTATCTTCATAATTATCAATATTTTCTAAACTATTTTTAGATTTTTCAATTGAATCCATTAGCTGTTCAACTTTATTTAATGCCTTTTCAGCTTGTCTGATTGAACTGAACGCATCTTTTGTCCTGATGAAATAAATGAAGGTATATTAGGATAAATAAATGAGAAGACTAAAGTTATAACAATGATGTGGTAAATTTGTGGATTATATTTCGAACAATCTGATGACATGATACTTATTAAGACATTATATATGAAAAATAAAAGGCATACTAGACAAACTGGAAAGTAAAAGGAAATAAAGATAGTAATATAGTACATTGTGTGAAAACTAAGCTGAACAATGAATCAGTCTTACTAGCGTAGATTATGGGTTAGAATTAATTGTTTCTAAACACATAAAGGAAGATTTACTTTTCCTATATCCGAACCTTCAATAAATGTTAGTATACGCGCTTGAAGACTTTTATATGATAATATAAAGGCCGAATTAGTATCAACCTTATAATCTTAAGATGTATAAATAGACTGTTCAATTTAACATTATTGTATACTTAAGAAATGTTCATAATTAATTCTCAGATGAGTAAAGAAATTTCATTAGAATATATGATCAGTGTAAAGTTGTCAAGTTTGTTGGCTTTCATTGAAATCATGAACCGATCAATGTTAGACCACCAATAAAAACCTGGAACACCGTTGGATGCTGTCTCAGTGGTATAAATGTCATATACGTTCTCGTGAGAGACCGGAGGTCTTGGATCTGAGTGCCCCGTACACAGTCATGGGTGTGCACTATTGAGGAATCCTATATTATGACGTAACAGCCGTTCGGTACTTACAGTTTGTTAGTGATGGTCTAACATTGATCGGTTCATGGTTTCAATACAATATATGAAACTAACCTAACTATTTAATAAAGTAATTATTTAGCAGAGATACAATAAACGATACGATGACTAATTAGCAGTAACCAGTGATTTATCTTCGATTTTGATCAGCTTCTGTTTATTCAGATTGTAAAGTGAACAACACGTTAACTGACTTAAAATTACAGACCAATCTAAATAGTTCAGTGGTAAGGTTTTTAAATACCATACTTGGAGTTCCAATATGTAAATGAATATAAGTTCAGTTAAGTACAACACTAAGATTTATTGGTTTCTTATTAGTACCTTCGGATTTCTAACATAGTTAGAAATATCAAGCAATATGAATATGCTAATTTAATTTAGTCTATTCAGGAAGAATTCCAATTGAAATGATTGATAAGATATTGATTGTATGATTTCCACTTTATCAGTACAGGGATTGAAATATAAACATATTACTTGACTACATAATTTTCTTTCAAATATAGTACATTTAATAGATTTATTTACTTGAACTTTTAGAATTGATTTTATGTAAAACAAACTTCTTATAACTACAGGATTCCATTTCCTAGTCCCACATTTGAATGAACTATTTATCTGATTTAAGAAATCAATGAGTTTTACAATTACTGTTCAGCACTCGAAGTTGTGGACGATTATAATAAAAAGTGATTCGATTTATCATTCAAAATCTTTTAGATGAAATAAAAGAATATTTTAATATTGAAACTACTGGTTATGAAATAACTGCATTGTTTCACTTTTAAGGTTTTATTTAAGAGTAATTTTCGCCACAAACTGATATTAGTTAACAACCACTGTCGTTTATGTACAGTACTAAACACAGTTTAGTTATTAATTTAGGATTACTAGTCAGTCTCGGTCCAATTACAACTGTATCTGAAATTAAATAGAGGATTTTTAGAGTTTCTGGTGGTCAAAATAACACGAGTAACACTCAGATTCTACTAGCTCATAACATAAGGGATCCTATATCAAGATTATCTGTAAGTTACTGTTGACTCAAGGAAAAGATTCTTAATTGTATTAATAAGTCGATCACTTACTTTTTTAAAATTATTTTTGATTTTGCTAATGTATAATAATTCAGTAAAACTATACAAAGAATAAGTAAATTAGCACGATCATCAGAATTCTGTTGATTCATTTGCTGACTAGTAGAATTTAAATAATATGATATTAATTTCATGGAGTTTTCTGCATGACTTTCAGCTTGTAAAGCATATTCTGAATAGAATAAAATAATTATTTATATAATGATAATTAAAAATGCAAACAAATATAAAAAAGGGTAAATACATTGAAACATTAAACCGTTCTAACTTGATATAACCGTCTATAAAAAAGGAACAGATAAATAGATAATGTTTGGACAATGACAAAATTAAACAGGCTAGTGGACATGAAATACATAACCATATATCGTTCTTAATATCTTAAGGACTTAAGCTTAAAAATGACATTGAATCAAATCCCTGGCACCAGTGAATAATACCTTTTAGCTTGTTTCGATGGACTGATGCTAATACAAATGAGTTTCCCAACTTCCTGTCTTTACATCGGAAATCATTTGGTGAGACATGTTGCCTATGATCTATTTAACTCATTAATACCAATATCACAACATCATGAACCGGTGAACTTCAGATTTTAGAATTCTATGTCAGATTTCGCTCTTTATTCTATTATTTTGTGGCTACAGTTGACTAAACTCGAAATCAGAAAACTGTAATTTCATCTAGTCGTTCAATATCAAAGTACATAGACAGCAGCAAAAAGGTAAAACTTTGCAAGGTGACATGTTGTGCTGCTTAAATAAGCTCTAGTAGTCTGTAAAGCATGAATATGTCAAGATTGGTAGATAATACTACAAATAAGAAAACTAGGTGAGATTTAAAACCGTTTTACTTTATTTTGTCCTATAAATGCTAATATTTAAAATATTGTATTCATGATTATTGTAACTTATAAGAATGCGTTTCATTCAGAACTTTTTTTATTTAATATCTAATAATTTAATGCGGAAAAGCAAGATTCTCCGATACAACACATCATGCAACAATCGAATCACAATTGATGGAGAAGATTTGGAAGATGTAAAAACCTTTACACATCTGGGCAGCATCATTGATGAACACGGTGGATCTGATGCAGATGTGAAGGCGCGGATCGGCAAAGCGAGAGCAGCATATCTGTAACTGAAGAACATCGGGAAGTCAAAACAACTGTCAACCAACAACAAGGTCAGGATTTTTAATACAAATGTCAAGACAGTTTTACTGTATGGGACAGAAACCTGGAGAACTAAGAAAGCAATCATCCAGAAGGTACAAGTGTTTTTATTAACAGTTGTCTACACAAAATACTTTGGATCCGTTGGCCAGACACTCAACAACAACCTACTGTGAGAAACAACAGACTAGATTCGAGCAGAGGAAGAAATCAGGAAGAAGCTCTGGAAGTGAATAGGACACACATTGAGGAAAGCACCCAACTGCACCACAAGACAAGCCTCCAGATGGAATCCTAAAGGCCAAAGGGAAATAGGAAGATCAAAGAACACATTACGCCGAGAAATGGAGACAGACGCGAGAAGAATGGGCAACACTTGGATAAGACTAGAAAGGAAGGATCAGAACAGAGTTGGTTGGAGACTGCTGGTTGGCAGCCTATGCTCTCTGTTGGAGGTAACAAGCGTAAGTAACAATTTAATGTTAATTTTCTAGAATTTTAACAACAATAACAAAATAACTCACTTTCACCTTTCCAATTAATATAGAAATAACCAAAACAACATTGATATTGAGCATGATGCCAATCATTTATTTCATAAATCATTCTACTAAATGCAATACATTTACATAACATTTGAAATATAGAATTATCTTTCTAAAATAAAATTTTAATTATTAATAATGTTTGTTTGTTATTTTTGAATTACATTTAAACAATTTAAAATAGATTCATTTATCATTGTTTCATTTTTTGTTAATTGTTCATTAGGTGTTTGTAAAATATTGACATTGTTTTGCATTATATCCTATAATTAATATTAGTAGTATATCATCAAAATTTAAGAATAACAATGTTTAAAGGAAATTTTTTTATCTTAACAGATAGTATGATAATAATTTAGTTTTTAAAGAAAAAAAACATAAGTCTCAATTGATATGATATGCTGTAAGAAACGAGAAAAAATCAAGGTGACAAAATGTTAGTTTTTCTATTTGTTGTAAGACTGTCTCTGAATAGTTACTTAAATTAAACGAATGCTATCATAATAACTAAATACATTTATGAATTTCTTGTCTGAATATGTGGAAATATTCAACTCTAATAATAACACTCGTAAGCTACTAGTATTTAACCACAGATGCCTTAGAAATATTGCTGGCGTCTGATAGGATCACCAGGTAAGTAATAGTGAGGTAAGACACAGGGTATTAGGGAATGATGGTAAATCAGTTGATCAGGTCGTGAATCTTCATCTACTGAGATGGTTGGGCAACGTGTTACGTATTCACGAACAACGATTACCACGACATGCAATGCTTACCGGTGTCGGAGATGGTTAGAAGAAAGTAAGGGGCGGCCAAAGCAAAACGTGGCATCAGTGCTTGAAGTCACTAACTTCTAGTTTGAGCCATGTTGGTAGATGCAGACTACTTAGTTGGGGTCCGTGTGACTATCGTAACCAATGGTTGGAGACTCTTGGTGACATGGCTCAGAATCGATCACAATGGCGTCGGTGTATACACTCTGTATCTTCCCTTAAACTAAGAGATTAAAATCGCTTCATATCTTTCTTTCTACGAAATAATTCTTTCTTCCTGTACTATATCTTTATTGCAATCTTTCTTTTATATATTACCACCTCTGAATTAACTACTTTTATGAATCCGGTGTCCATCTTATCGTGTTAATGAGGTATGGCAACTTGGACCGATGCATATATTTGCCTGGTCCTACGTTGTAGCTGATTGACTGACTATTTACAGTTAAATCTGATAGTATATGATTACATGATTTCATTGAAAGATCTCTACATTATCACTAGTTCATAGAATAATTAACTAAAATGTTTGGATAACAGCCATCTTGTAATTTTCTCTTTTTAATAGTTGACATTAGTCTATCACGATTTAAATTACCAACTATTTCCTTACTTACTTCTATGATATTTGTGTTCTCGGTTTCCATCACAAATGTAAACAAACAAAGAAAGTGTTTTTTAGTCCAATGATATATCAAAATTCCATTATATTCTTAACATTCTTTTTAGTTATACTCAACCTGATTAGATCAAAGGATTTAAAAAAAATTAGCAAAACTTATCACACATAAAACAAACAAATAAGATACTCGCTAAAATATTTTAAAATATAAATTTGTAAGTAATTTACAACTGGAAACGTTTTGATGATGTTGTTAAAATGGTAATCTAATATTGTAAATAATTCAAATGTTTTGGAGATAACTATTACATAACAGTTTATCTAATAACTTCCTTGTGTTTAAAAATAAATATACATTCTAACTTTACACTTTTATTTTGTTTCCCTTCAAATAAGCCCTTTTTAAAGAATATTTTGTGGAGTAAATGAATAGTATAATTGAAGATTACACTTATTTTTAATATGTAGAAAAATGATTCAACGTTGCTTTCGATTCGATTACTTTCAAGTTAATGTTACCGTTACCATACTTGTTTATATAATTTAAACAGCATTCGAAACTATATGCAAGAAGTTGTAAATATTCATGGCTGAATTATTTTTTTTTACTTTATTGACTTTTACAAACCATAGAGAATCTAAGTTGTTTGATAAGTCAGTAGAAAATAAAAAACTTGGATGATGAAAAGGTAGTAATAAACACAGGAAATCAGGCATACAAAGTGATATGATAACCAGGATTTAATAAAAGAAGAGAGGCAAATATATCTAGATAATGAGACTAATTTTAAGACTGTTACTGGAATAATTAACCTGATGAGTTATAAACCTGACATATATATATATATATATATATATATATATATATATATATATATATATATATATATATATATATATATATATATATATATATATATATAGTTTTTAAATCCAGTTTATCAATTATGCTCTTTCAAGATTGAAATAAAATATCCGGTGTCATGTAGATATTAAGTCATTTGAAAATATTTTGCCGATCAGATATACAAATAGAACCAAGTTTATTCCATGTTTCAAACGGCTTATGTTCTGAGTAAAGATACTGGAAAGTGTTTGATCATAATTGTTTTATTTTTCTGTCAGAGACAATTTAGACATTAAAGTTTTTCGGGATATTCATATTTATCAATAAGATTTATAAATTAAATCCAGTAATAATAAGTTGATAGTATGGTGTATACTACTTGTCTGTCAACATAAGTAGTTTGTAACATCAATCAGAAAAAGAATGCTTGGCATCAGAAGATTGAGAAAATCGAATTGTAAAGAACAGGAATGTAACCAGAGAGCAATTTTAATAATGACTGTCATGAAGGTACGATAAAGTATGTAAAAGGCAAATGATGGAAGATTTTCCAATTAAATATTTAATGTATAGATTTCATATTTTATGAAGACATTCTGTAATTTTGTACGAAATCATGAAAATTGATCCTTCCCACCTGAGTTTTCGCTCACTGCAACAATATCAGCTCTGTAATTGTTGTGCTAGCTAGCTAGCTTACTTACATATTTTAGTATTAAAACTTTTGAACATATTAGTTAAATACCTTGATATAGCATTTCCATTTATTGACTTCTTCAATATTCTAGTATTTAACTTTATAAGATTTTTTAATTACTATCATTCTTTTTTTCATATACGTTAAGAGTTAACACAATATGAACTAGCATTGACGTTTTAATACATAGAATAAATGGTTGCAAGACCGAGTGTTATTTTGATGGGTAATCTACCTAATTATAGTTAATAATGATTTTTAACTTGAAGATAAATGTAAATAAATAAAATTAATATTTTGCGTCTTATTAGTATTTTCGAAAAATCAGCAATTAACTCCTTGTAATTCTAATAAGGGTATGAAGTATTAAATGATTTATACTATTCAGATAAGAAAGCCACCGTTTATTTGTGATGAAAATAACGCTTTTAAGCCATTAAAAATCCTGTGTATTACCTAACTCAATTCAATAACTTAGTGATTAGAATATATTCCAAGGTCTAAAATAGTTTCGACAGTGAAACTAAGTATAAGCAACTCATTTATGAATTACTCATACACATGAGTTATTAAATTTGCTGGATAATTTAACATTTTACTTAATACTAGTTGAAAAAACTGATATTACAGGTATTCAAGTTTAGAAAGTGTTCGTTTATTCAGTCTTCATTTTTTTGAATTCATAAAAGAAGAACACTATTTGCCAAATAAAACAGAAGCCACTTGCAACCTCGTATATGTAAGTATGAGGCAAGAAAAATTATATTGAAATTAGTAGTCAAGATAATAGAAAGCTACTGTACACGTGCTGGAAGAAATGATATCCCAAGCACTTAAGTTTAAAGGGTTTTAGAAGTCGGTAAATCACACCTCATCTTAAGATGCTCTACGGTTCATAATACTGAAGTTGCACTTTTAAAATATTGAAAAATACCAATTAAAGATTTTAATATAATCACTGGTGGATTACGTTTAAAGTTTTAACTCATAATATTTAAACGATGTTTCATTAAGCCAACAGTTCTTAAAAGAGAATAGTTTGCACCCGATTTATCAAGTTATTATTAGTCAATTACTCATATGACTCTTCATTACGTAACTAGAATAATAACATACACGCGTGCATCGGCGTTGAATGTCGCGCATGCTGGGTAGGCATCAGATGCAGATGGCTCGGTGGTTCAACGAAGCTATCGAGGTCGGTGAGCCACAGACTCGAAATTTTGATGGAGAGCGTGCACAGACTGCAGAAGAGAAGAAAGTGGCATGGCAAGTAGAACCACTACAAGAACAACTGTTTAAAGGGATGATGACTGTTGTGTGTGCTAATGATGTCTACATATATAAGAAGTATGTATCACCAGTCAAATGTGAAATATCTGGTGGCAGAAGGTTGAGAAAGTCGAAGAGAAGAGAACGGGGACAGAGAGTGATTAGTATGGAAACGAAGGGACAACAATGTCGAGAAAACTGATGGATATTTTGCAAAAGAAATATTCCCTGTATGGTTCTCAGATTTTACCAAGAGATTCTGTAGTTTTACGTTTAAATAAATTTAGTTGTCCCCACTCGTATTCCCATTCACTACAAAATTAGTGATACTATATTAAAGCCATTAAGAACTTCTGCAGGCGGCCTGGGACCTTTAAATGGTGACTCTCATCAACTATGCATAAAGTGAGTGAGTATTCAGTCCCAAACGCTTTGGCAGTTAGCAAGGTATAATGTTTGATCATTTACTTCTTGTATTCTGTACTAATGCATTACCGTTCCCGTAAATCGTCGGTGCTTTTATATTCAAGTGGCTAAAATGTTTGAAAACTAATGAATAACTTCACCGGTTCTAAAATTTAAGCTTAAAGCTAGGTTCAGGAGTAGTGTCCTGTTATACATTGGTCACAGAACTAGCTTCTAGCAATCTATCAACAGAACACCGTCTCTATAAGGTCAGGAACATAAAGACTTATGAGTCATTACATTCGAAGAACTAAAAATTACAATGGGTTGGCTTATAAAAGATCTCACAGGTTATGGTGACCACTCAAAGACTTCAAACACCTAAAGGAAGATAATTTCCGGGTTTATTGCCCAAGAATATGATACGTAATAAAGGGTATTGCACCTAATTAAATAATCCATATCATGCCAAAGATGACTGTACTAGATTAGTGGCAGACGTTTTCAACCTCTTCTATTAAGAGAGTTTAGAAAGCTTGAGTCTATCGTTTATATCTTAATATAGAAAACGAAACTTTCGTATATTGACACATCATACTATAAATGATAATCTTGGGGCCCAAGCGCATTATAATACTGTCTCATCCAGGACCAAAAATCTTCTATGATAATAAAAATGATCAAAAAATTAAGATAAAAATAAACTAATGGTATAATGCTGTTTTTTGCATACTATAGTTAGAACTTGATACGTATGCTAACTGGTTCAGGCTGCCATACTCCAGTAGCACAGAGAGAAATTTTCAGGCCAAATCCCAGAATGGTAGATGTAGTAACAGTATCAATGGTAATGGGAAAGACTAGGCATCAAACATACGATTCGAGAAAAAACAAACTAATGATCATTAATTTAAAACCAAAACATGTTATGAGGAATTCAGGAGTTAAATATTGAAGGGAAGACAAGAGTGAATGCATCTGAGCCATTGTAAATGATTTTGGGTGACGTCGTTTAATTTCTCTAACCATAAGTTATGATAATCACGCACTATAGTGTATGATAATATGTCATTAGATTTAAATGGTCTCAACGGAACTAGAAAGCTGCTACTCAGTCAAATACTTCGACAAAAAATGAATAGCCCCCTAATAAAATAGTTTCCAGTCTTTATTTTGGTGCAAAACACTCTAAACTAACGTTTTTCAGCGTAGTGAACCACAGCATAAACATATTGCGCCGGAAGCTTATTTTCAATAACTTCTATGTTTAATGTAACACTATAATCATAACCGCCAGTTATAATTTTGACAAAAGGTTCATTCAAATGGCTCTGGGGAGAACAGAACAAGCTTTTGCTCAATGTGCTTCCGTATATACGGAAGGTCACCTCTTATACGCGCCTGCACTCTAATGAGTACTAGATTTGATTCCAAATATTTTTAGAAATGGTTTATTTTATGATTTTATATTTCGAAAATAGGTAATTTTTGGATGCGATAAACATCACAACTGAGGCTAGATTAAAAAGAAACAAAACTTATGCGTTACTATAGTGACGTCTAAAAGGCTCGCGTGAGGTTGAAATTTTAATTAGATCTAGTGAAACGAAAAAGAAAATACTAATACATAAAGTCTTTGAAGTATCTATCAACTGCAGCTAAGTAATTTGTCAAGTTGAACTCATCTGTACCTAAAAAAAACGAATAAAGGAGAGATTACTTATCAGTTGTTTAGTGTTCAATATATGTACAGTGTTAAGTATTTTTGGTGGTTTTCTATCCATACCATGGAAAAAGTGTGTTTTTGATAATAATTTTCATTAAACATTTTATTTCACAACTTATTACGACTTTTCTTCTTTCCTACTCTGGCGAATTGAAGCAAGCAGCAGTTGCGT